GAGTGCAGTCCCCCTGATCTCCAGTCTCTAGAGTGCAGTCCCCCTGACCTCCAGTCTCTAGAGTGCAGTCCCCCTGATCTCCAGTCTCTAGAGTGCAGTCCCCCTGACCTCCCGTCTCTAGAGTTCCGTCCTCCTGACAGTTCTGGCAGTCCGGCCGTCCCTCCTCCACCCACCCGGTTGTGGACTCTGACTCTCGGCCTCGGAGGAGTCCTAACCCTCTTCCGGGCCCCCACCACCCTCCCTTGGAAGATGTTTATGTTTTGTTTTTGCTTTTGGGACGTCTGGAATCCGTCCCTTGCTTGGGGGGGGGGGGGGGGGGTACTATCACGATCAGGCTTTGCCTTCTGTGTTCTGTGTGTCTTTGTGTAGCTTCACCCTCCTCACTCTACCTGTCAGCCACTCCCTCAGCACCAGTCTAACTCCCTTCACCTGCCTCTGATCAGTAATCAAGCACTCCCTCCTCAGCACAACTCTCCTCACCTGTTCTAGCCACGATATAAACCCCTGCCTCTCAGTCACTCACTGCCAGGTCATTGTCATGTCTACCTGCCCGTTTGCCTCGTTCTGTGCCCTGTCTCAGTTCTGCTGGAGTTCCTCTCTGGTCTCGTCCGTGGATTCACTGTGTTCCTGTAAGTTCATGTTCTGATTTAAGTGTTCATTAAATTCCCACTGCACTCTACTTCTGGTCTGGTCTGCGTTTGAGTCCTCCATCATGCCCGTGACAGTCTGATAGACTAAACAGCTGAGGTGTTTAGTGTCAAAGACTGTTCTCACATTCAGCAGAGGGCACAGGCCATGAGAGTTTGTGTGAGGACATAAGGCCCTGTAAGTCCAACACATTCATTACTCACTAGATTTTTCCCAACATAATCCCTTTTTTCAACTATTTGCTAATCTGTTATAATGGTACAATGTCCCTCTCTGTCTGGTTTAAACACAGAGCAGCATTCTGAACCATCAACATTTGTGGTGAGACAAAGCCAACAGGTCTGTGGTAGTTCATCTCCAGCAGCTTTTCATAAATGTAATACTTGAGCATTATTTCCTTGACTGGTCAGCTGCTGCAGTCAGGAACTAAACCCTGCAGCAGGTGCTGAACTGATCCGAAGTCAAAGCTGGATCTCTAACTTCACCAAACATTCACTGCAGTAGTTATAGAAGAGCTGCCATCAGAGCTACAACACAGGGCCTCACAGGGCCTCTCTCTGAAGGGCCATGGAAGTGCTTCTAGAGACGCTCAGAGCTCCACCAGACTCAACCAGACTCATTGGTAATCAAATATGTATTTAATGCATGTTTTCCTAATCTATTCCTAACCTCATGGTGCAGGTCACGTGTTGGTCCAGCTTAGTCGATCAAAGACAGGCTTTCACAACCTCATTAGTTTTAGTGAGACACTAAAAACCCTTAAACCACATCATCACAATGCTGTGGTTTTAAGGTAGATGAACAATATGTCGGCTTTTATTGGAGGGCTGATGTGGTCTGGTGTCAGAACCAGTTCTAGAAGTCTTCATGACCTCTGATCAAGAGAGATACGGTTCTATTTCGTAACAAAGGTGAAGAAACAGGTTTGTTTTGCAGAGTTATCAATCTGTTATCAACCTGTTATATATTAATCTGTGTCAATATTGTTATCAACCTGTATCAATATATATATATATATATATATATATATAGTTATAAATCTGTTTTATAGAGAGCGAACATGCAACAGATTCACTTCTACTTTCGTCTTTGCTGGGTGGGGTTTCTTGTAAATGGTCTCAATTGTTGTAAGTGTGTGTGTGTGTGTGTGTGTGTGTGTGTGTATAAAAGCAGCTACAGAGTGAAGAGAACCAGAACTCTTCCTTCACTCCTGATCAGAGACAAACTGAGGTAAGTTGCTGAACACTCTGATCTTTTAGTCCACAGCTTCTATGTTTCAGTGTTCATGTGATAGTGAAGATATTGAGTTTATGAACATTATTGCATGATTTGAGTTTTAGAATTATTTGCTTGTGTTTATTGTTTTTGTGTTTGTTTCATCTGTTTAATACGTTTTATGCACTTTAACAGAGTTCTGAAGAGTTGAAGCTATTTTGAGCTCAGGAAATATCTCAAGTAATAACTTCATGAGTGTTTCATGTAAAGAGGGTATCAAACTCTCCTGTGAAGCTCTTCTTGTGTCAATGATTGTATTTTTGTACAAACGATTGCAGTAAAGTTCTTGCTGAGGAACAACCATCACATCACTCTCGTGATTATTTATCCCCATTTTTCAGCGGGTGTAACGCATACATCCAGTTACACAACGCACTCTATTATGTATTACTGTGTATTGTTTAAGACTGTTGAAGTTAGATTTGTTCAATATTCAGTCTACATTGGTGACTTCTCTTTGCTGATCACTGCAGCTTTGTCCTACTTGTGATTGTAGTCTCATGCTATGAAATCAACGGCTATTGAGGGAATGTTTCATTTAGAAAAATACATTTATCTCAATGCAATCTCTGAACTTTGTGTATTATAATATTTACTTTTTGTGTGCATGATTAGATTTGTGTGAGTGTATATTTACTGCTATTCCCCAAAACACAATAGTACAATGATTTCTGTATTTCTTTATTTTTCTAGGAGAGCTATGGAGAAGTTTGAAGAAGAAGTTAAAGAACTTATCCAAACCAGGGGACCTGCCGAGGCAGCTGCAAAGATCAAGGCTTATTTGGATGAGAAGAAGAATGTTCCAGTAAATATTGGCATCACAGGAGAGTCCGGCGCTGGTAAATCCACCTTTGTTAATGCCTTTAGAGGCTTAGATGACGGGGATAAGGGAGCCGCCCCCACTGGTGTTGTAGAAACCACCTCAGTGGTTACATCATACCCCCATCCACAACATCCCAATGTTGTATTTTGGGATCTTCCTGGTATTGGCACCACCAAATTTCCAGCTGACAAGTACCTGAAGCTTGTTGGATTCGAAAAGTTTGACTTCTTCATCATCATCTCAGCCACTCGCTTCAGAGAAAATGATACGAAGCTCGCTGAAGAGATTCAAAAAATGGAGAAAAAGTTCTACTTCGTCCGCTCGAAGATTGACGATGACATACGTAACGAAAAAAGAGGTCAGAAGTCAGCGTTCAACGAAGAACAGACTCTGAACAAAATCAGGGAAAACTGCATTCAAGGTAAGTCTGAGGTTAAAGGGGAAGATCACCAATGCCTACAACTGTAAGGCTTATGCAACAATGGTTAAAAGCAGACACTGCCTCACTTAAAAGGCAGAAAGAACTAAGGAGAGCTAACGGGTAGTACATTGAGTCATGTGATACTGGCAGAGCCACTAATGAGGGTCTGTTGGCCTGACTGCTCATCTCCTCAGATCTAAACAACATAGGCTCCCTGTCTCTGTGTTGGGCCTGGAGGGGGTTGCTGGGGCTTTTTCTAATAGTATATCATCTGAAATAAACTTCTCTCTTCTCTTTGTCTGGACTAACAAGGTGTTAAGTCTCAACAAGTCTTCCTGGTGTCCAGCGTTGAGCTCCACCTGTACGATTTCCGTCTGTTGGAGGAGACCCTGAGGAGAGAACTTCCTGCACACAAGAGACATGCTCTACTGTTGGCTGTACCCAACATCAGTCTTGGGATCATCAGCAAGAAGAAAGAGGCTTTACAGTCACAAATAAAGTGGCATGCTACAATGGCTGCAGGCATGGCAGCTGTACCAATTCCTGGGCTCTCTTTAGTCGTTGATGTAGCCGTGCTGGTTTCTGTCGTCGGAGGCTACCAAGTTACTTTTGGTCTTGACAGCTCTTCACTGGAGAATCTTGCTGATCGTGCAGGTGTGCCTTTGAATGATCTCAAAGCAGTGATAACATCCCCTTTAGCTGGAAATGAAATCAGCAGAGATCTTATCATTAAGCTACTGACCTCATCTGTGGGTGACGCTGCATTAACGGCAGTAGAGGCATTTTTTATAGGTATTCCAATATTGGGAATCCCAGCAGCAATTACCGCCACCAACAGAGCTTTGAATGCTTTCCTCACCATGATTGCTGAGGATGCACAGAGGGTGTTTAAAAAGGCCCTGGGTTTGAACACCCCAGTCTGATACCATGGGAATGGAAATATGAAACATGTGAAACTGTTGGTGTACAATGCAAATGAGCTTCTGAATTATTTGTGAGAGTGCACTATAATATTATTGTAGTAAAAGCACTGCAGACAAATCATAGTTTTCTAACCGTGTCGCACATTTAACCAAAACACAAATCAGAAATTGTGGCGCTTACTTTCGCTTAATGAGCTGAAATTTGTGATTTCTTAATGATGGAAACCCAGTTCTTCCATGATGAGTTCTCCGTGTCGAGTTCCAGAAGTTTGTACAAACACACAGAACATCCTTGTCGTTCACTACCATCTAGTGGACATATCCCTTACATTACCATTAGGTTTTTCTAAATGACAGCCTCAGTGAAAAGGTACGTTTGAATAATTATTAAATGTTTGTTCTCATGGATATGAGTTATTCTTCTATCCACAAAGGACTGGGCTGTTGTGACTGTCATTGCATCTTACTGGAGATTCCACTGATTCCCTCTACTCTGCAAAGAACCTGATTCAAACCTCATCAGCATTTTAAAGTGACAGACGTCGTCTGTTACAGTGGCAAGAACCACCCGTCGTTCTAATGCTCAACAACATGCGGACATGGTATGTGACAGATGGTACACATCTTGTGTTGGCTAGTTTAACAGTGTGAGGAGGAGGAGCAGGAAGTGGGAGTGGCCTGGCTTGATCAGAGCATATATGGGGGAATGAGTTCTGCCAACAATTGTATGTAAATGTGGGTTTCCTTGCTCTGAGTACATTTGTTTGCAGTACCTTGATGCTTGAGTTATTTATGTTCAGTTACAATGACGAACATTGTGTTAATCCTCCTCAGTTATAAGTTTGTCAGATATTTTCTCTCGATGTATTACATTTAGTGTATGATGATGTATGTTTTCATTTAGATAAAACCTGCACTGTTTGTGCCGTCCTCACCTGCCCCACCATCTGTTGTCTATCAATAAATCTCAATGGAAGTGGACTCTACGGGTGTTTCATTTACTGCGTCGTGTGGAAATATCTGTCTCGACAAACTTCTTACAGCAAAGAAGTACATTACACCTTAACCTTCCCAACTGCAGTATAAACAGCAACACTGACTGCACATCTAGTTGAAGCATCAGATTCTGGAGGAAGCAGCCGGCACAGGAACAACACCTGGCATTGTTTGAAATGGTTACATAAAGACACCCAACTGGTGAGGAGGAGCAGAGTGTATCAGTGAGGTGGAGGAGGAGAAGGAGATGGAGGAGGCCGACGGTCAGAACAGTACGCTTGCTCACCAGACTCATTTTAACTGGGACAATGAAAACCTCAGCTCCAGTAAATCACACATCTGAGGAACCGATTGATTTATGACATCAAAATGCGTCATTGGACCAATATCACCCCACTGCTCCACATAGACATTTGAATCACTTTTGACACACTATGCCATACTCTCAGTATTCTGCTTCTCTCTGTTGGTTAACATGCAAAGTGCACCTAAATATCTATAACATTATCTTAAACATTAGCATCTCAACCAGGGGAAGCTCGAATTAGTATTCACACTTTTGGTGACGCTGACAGAGTTAAGAAGTACCTCTAATTCACCAGCAGAGGGCCTGGTCTGCTGTGGACACTTGCTGGTGCTTCTTAGAGGACACAGACTTCTCTTTCTGTTCCAGAAGTCAAAAGGAGTCCAGAGAAGGGGGGAGGAGGTGGAGTCGTCCATCGAGGCTGTGGTCAAGTTAAAGTCAACTTTCAAAGGTGGGGGTGAATCATTTGTTCAGGCACAAATCCTCATCATCATAGTGGTGTGCCATATATACACACACACACATATATATACACATATATATATACACACACATATATATATACACATATATATATATATATTTATACACACACACATATATATAGACACATATATATATATATATATATATATATATATATATATATATTAGTGCTGGGCAAGTTAACGCGTTAATTTCGCGTTAACGCATTCATTAATTAACGCCGACAATTATTTTAACGTGCGTTAACGCATTTTTTAAATTTATTAAAATGTTTTTATTTTTTAATTGAAAGACAAGAGACAATACATAGACATAACAACAAGAGGATGACAAGAACAGTGGGATAAAAGCCAGCAAACATCCTATAGTCAGCAATGTTAGTGCACCTATATGCTGACATTCACGGTAAACGCATTTAAACGGTACAGATCGGGAGTGAGCGAAGGACTTTGAAAGTCAGCAGAAAGATTAAAGTGAGACAACATCCGGTTTCTTCAGACGAACATCCGGTTTTCAGAATAAGATGCCAACAAAGTATGAATTATATTCACATAAAGTATAAAACATGCTGCCTGCATCTCCTGAACCAAATGTTATTGCTATTTTGTTCATATAGCAGTACTTTTAAAATAAAAGTGCGCAATACACTACTTTTGAATTCATTATTGAACTTTGCCATAACAATGAGATTAATCGCAAAAAATCCACGCGATTAATCGCGATTAAATATTTTAATCGCGATTAATCGCAATTAAATATTTTATTTAATTAGTGCCCAGCACTAATATATATACATATACGTATATATGAATATATATTTGTGCTGGGCAACGATTACAATATTTATATATACTGTATATATTAGTGGTGGGCTGTCAGGGCCTGCAAGGCCTTCTCTGTTGGCCTAAGCAGAATCACAAATTTATAGCTATTTTAAAATTTAATTATTTTTCATAAACTATAAAGGATCGGGACTACACTGAGCCTGGTTTAGAGAGAGAGAGAGAGAGAGAGAGAGAGAGAGAGATGTTAGTGACAAAGATATACCAATAAATCAAACTAACTCAGACCAATATATTACAAAAGAAAAACTCCAAACATTAGAAGAAATAATTAAAGACAACCAGAACCCCCTTGATTTCCCAATGACTTGGGAAGAACTGAGCACACAGACAAAGTGTCTCCGGCCAAGGAAAGCTTGTGGTCCAGACAGCATCAAAAGTGAGATGCTCAAATGCAGCACCCCAGAGATGCAGGGTGCAGTGTTGAAGTTGTTCAACATCATATTACAATCAGGGTGTTTTCCTGACTCCTGGAGCAAAGGGCTCATTTCACCCATTCATAAGAGTGGTGACAAGTCAGACCCTAGTAACTACCGGGGCATCTGTGTCAGCAGCTGTCTCGGTAAATTATTCTGTAGTATTCTCAATAAAAGAATACTACATTTCCTTGACGAACACTCCATCTTGAGTAAAAATCAAATTGGCTTCCTCCCAAAACACCGGACCACCGAGCATGTATATACCCTTCATACTTTAATTAACAAACATGTCCACCAAACAAAAAATGGTAAAATATTTGCTTGTTTTATTGATTTCAAGAAAGCCTTGGATTCTATTTGGCATGAAGGGCTCTACTACAGACTCCTACAGTGTGGGATAGGGGGCAAAGTATATGATCTGGTTAAATCAATGTATTTGGGAAATAGATGTGCTGTTAAAATTGGAGACAAACAAACTGAATCCTTCACCCAGAAAAGAGGTGTTCGTCAGGGTTGCAACTTAAGTCCGACTTTATTTAATATATATATAAATGAACTTGCTGTTGAGTTGGATCAATGTGCTGCTCCTGGGCTCTCCCTCCTTGAGAGAGAGGTGAAGTGTCTGCTTCATGCCGATGACCTGGTTCTACTGTCTCCTACTGAACCAGGACTACAGCAACAGCTGGACAGAGTGCAACAGTTCTGTCATAACTGGGCCCTGGCAGTGAACATGAAGAAAACCAATGTCATGATTTTCCAAAAACGCCCCAGATGTCAGGAGAACAAATACCAGTTTACCATAAACACCAACATGATTGAACATAGTATGAGTTATAGCTACCTTGGTATCAGCATAACTGCATCAGGGAGTTTCAACATGGCAGTAAATGCACTAAAAGAAAAAGCTCCAAGAGCTCTACACGCAATTAAGAGAACATTTTATAATTAAAAATCCAAATTAAAATCTGGCTTAAAATCTTGAACAGTGTCATCCAGCCCATTGTGCTGTATGGTAGTGAAGTATGGGTCCACTCAGTCATCACAGTTATACCCGCTGGACAAACATCAACAGAGTCTCTACACGCAGAATTCTGCAGACACATTTTACACAGAAACACCCCAACAAATGCATGTAGAGCAGAACTAGATACCCACTGATCATTAACATTCAAAAGAGAGCACTCACATTCTTCAATCACCTTAAATCCAGCCCCCCAGACACCCTCCACTCCAAAGCCCTCCGAACCCAAGAGCTGAGCCCAGAGAAGAGTCCCCTATGTCAGCTGGTGCTGAGACTAGCTGCCTCCTCTCAGACACACGGGGACCAGTCTCTCAACAACACGGCTCTCCAAACACCAACCAGAGTAAAACACATCATGGCGAGATGTAAAGAAGCCTATCTGGAGAGAGGAAACTGGGGGCCAAAGCAGACTGGAATGTTATCTGGCCCTAGAGAGAGACTATGAATTGGCAGAGTACCTCTCTACAGTCAGAGACATGAAGCAGAGACAGAACCTCACCAAGTACAGGCTCAGTGACCACAAACTGGAGATTGAACCAGGACGACACAAAAAGTCATGGCAACCAAGAGAGAACAGAACATGTGGTCACTGTGGGACCGGTGAGGCTGAGACGGAGATGCACTTCCTCCTAAAATGCAAAACATTCCATAAAATTAGGAACATCTACCTCAACAAATTTGACTCTGTGATTTCAGATTTTAAAAAATGGAGTGATATTTCAAAATGAAAAGTCCTCCTAGGAGAAGGAGAGAGGAGACCTTGCTGCCCAGTATGTACTAACATGCCACAACCTGAGGGACAGCAGGTGACGCTTTGGCGATGCCGTTCCTGGGCGTTCACGCCAATGGAGCAGATCTGAGTTTGGGTTGAATTGGGAGAGAGACGGAGAGAGAGAGAGATCTATCTATCCGTGGATCTCTCTCTCACTTCGCTCCTCCCTTTGCTTCGGTGTCAGAGAGCTGCGGTGGCCTACAGGTAACGTGGGAGCAATGGAGGCTCTGTCTCACACCACTTTATGAGATGTTGTATTAATATTATTGTTATATTGATATTGTTGTGTATTGATGTTATTGTATGTTCAATTTTTTGATGCTTTGGCAATACTGTTTCTAAACTTTCATGCCAATAAAGCAAATTTGAATTGAATTGAGAAGAGAGAGAGAGAGAGAGAGACAGAGACAGAGAGAGAGAGAGAGAGAGAGAGAGACAGAGACACAGAGAGAGAGAGACAGACAGAGACAGAGAGAGAGAGAGACAGAGAGAGAGAGAGACAGAGAGAGAGAGACAGAGAGAGAGAGAGAGACAGAGACAGAGAGAGAGAGAGAGAGAGAGAGAGAGAGACAGAGACACAAAGAGAGAGAGACAGACAGACACAGAGAGAGAGAGAGAGAGAGAGAGACAGACAGAGACAGAGAGAGAGAGAGACAGAGA